AGAGAGAGAGAGAGAGAGAGAGAGAGAGAGAGAGAGAGAGAGAGAGAGAGAGAGAGAGAGAGAGAGAGTTGACAGTGCTGCCATTCCAAAGACTCTGACGTTCTGAATTGAACTGCAAAGTTCGTATGGAGTTATGGATTTCAATAACTTAAAGTTCAAACTTCGAAGTTATATACTTTTTTCTTTTTTTTTTTCTCTGTTTCTTTAGTCTTGTGCCTGCTTTGCACTGTTTGCAACTCTGCATGTCTGCTAGTTGAATGTGCTTGTTGATTTGCTGCAAGACAGGTGCTCTGCTGCCTGAACTACAAAGTGCAAAGCAGGTAAGTGCCTGCCAACAGGGCCCCCGCCCCTCTCCCGTTTTTTTTTTTTTTTTTTTGGTCTGGACAGTTCGCACCCCCTGACACCGGTACTGTCGGGGTCCGGTGATGTCCAGATCACCGGACAGTCCGGACCGGTCCAGACACTGGTCCGGAAGACAGTCCGGGAGTGTCCGATGTCCGGGTCCACGGTTACCATGCTTTTTTCCCTGCAAATATGCTGACCATGGCACTTCCCTCTTCCTTTTCTGAGTTCCTGTGAGTTGTCGAGGATCGTGGGGCATCTTCTCAGTATAACAGAAACTGCTCTCCACCTTCTTCTGACTTCCCTGTTGTTCTATTATTCTTCTTTCTTTTCCTAAAACAGAATTTTCATTATTGCTGAAAACCGGGATCAGGGTCCTAAGTCCTTCATTACATTCATACTGGAAATCAAAATCAAATGAGCTTTTGCCCTTGTGCGCCACACGATTTCTGTTCTCGTTGAGCTCAATTCACGACACCTGCGTTATCTTTAACAGATGTGCTGCCCCAGCCAAACTCCCCACCTGCCAATGTCTTTCGCTTGGATCGGACAGGCCGTGAGGGCCTGCAAAAAAGACCAACTCAACGCATTCCTCCATGATGGCCAAGGAACCCTCAGACAGCAGCATTGACTACTTCCACTTCCCTGTTGTTCTATTGTAAGTGTCAGGGGGAAAATCAACTCCAATAATGAAACTGATCTCCACCGTCTTCTAGCTTATTTGCTGTTCTAAGCTAGGTTACCAGGGTCGCACTGCCCTGGCTGCCCCGCCGGGGGCCCTGGGCAGCCTGGCCGAACCTGCACTGGGAACGACCTGCCCGGGGCACCTGGGTGACACCAAAAGGGCAGCCTTTTTTTTTTTTTTTTTTTGGCAGTGGGGCAATTTTGCACCCTCTGAGATGTGCCCAAATCCAGCCTTATCTTTGATATAATTTATTAATTTTATTAATTTAGTATTTCATATTAGTCTATTTTGCTTGCTTTTTTTTTCAGATTTCATAACAAATTTCAGGGCAACCCTCAGCCAAAAGTCGTGTGATTTGCAATTCTGCATGAGATATGCGAGGGAATTAGAACCATAGGGCACCGCCGTGCCTTCAATTTGACTGGCAGGCCGGCAATTTTCCAAGGGCCTCACGAATCAGACAATTTGAGCCCGTGGGGGGGGCCAGACAGTTACTGGGCACCAGTTCGTTACAGGATCCCAGCATGTGCGGCCAAGCCCTCTGGAGCCTTCTAGGCTCTTCCAGGTAGCGACATGGAGCACGGCCCTTCGGCCAATCAGGACGCAGCGAGTGACAAGAGGCACGTCGCACAGTTGGGCATGCCTAACTGTTGTGGTCCCAGGTCGCTATCTGAATCGGGCCTGGAAGCAGACACTTTGACCCGATGTCAAGCAACTGGGAACTCGAACGCCAGGCCCAGGCAGCCTTCTGTGGGCAGTACTTTCCATATAGGAAAGTGCTCGCCCAGAGAGGACACATTCGGGTAAAGCTTCCACTGGCGACAGCGCTGCCTCACTGTGTGCTGAAGGTTGCCAGTGCGCTGCTGGGAAGGGCGCTGGGAGGAGATGCTGCCTGGAAGCAGCGCGCAGGTCAGTCATAGCCAGGCTGAGCCTGCTGGTAGTCGGTGAGGTGATGCTGGTCCACGGGTGTTTGGTGTAGCACACTGTGGGGGACAAGGTGTGGGGAGAGACAGAGAACAGACATGTACCTGATATGTATGTGGCAGTCTGCATGGGCGACTCCTTCATGTACGTTGGTCTTTGGCTGGAAGTGATTCCTGGTTGCATCATCATTAGTCGTAGGCTGCTTTGTAGTGGTAGTCTGGGCGCTGAGCGCCAATCAAGAAGAGCGACATTGGATACATTGTTGGTGATGGCGAGTTCATTGCATTGCTCTTATTTCGCTCGTATCTCAGACCATTCTAATTTCTGCTTGGTACACGACCATCACAGTTTCTTTAACGTTTTTCCAGATTTTCAGCATTTTTTTGATTTTTCTTAATTTCTTTTTTTGCACTGGGACTGCCTAGGACCTTGACCGGGACTCTAATGGCCGGCCCGGGGCACCCGGGCCAATCTGATGCAACCCGGGCGGCCCGGCTGGTAACCCAGGTTCTAATCCCATAATGCTCCTGTGTGATTCTGTCCAAGTCCCTGATGCCATTGGATTGCTTAGACGAGAGCTATCCTTCTTTGAAAAAAGAAAGGGAAAATTCAAAATTGTTGAAATGACCCTGAAAGTTGGGGTATTTAGTCAGATACCCCGAAAAGGCATGGGTATGGCTAAATGCCCCTATGACAGTAGCGAAACTTTGTGAAATACGCCACTTGCCAGTGGGACCTTTCATCTCTTGCATGCTATGTTGCACGCCCGGCCGCGGCCAGGGGGTCCAAGTCGGCCGCGGCCTAGGCCGATGGCCGAATCGGCCGGGTTCGGCCTAGGCCGACCAGCCGACTTCGGTGCAAGATTTTTATTTTTTTTTCTAATGCATGAAAAAAAAAATATATATATATATATGGGCGTGTAGGGCTAAGAAAACCCTACACTCCTATATTTTTTTTTTTGGAATCCGACTTTGTTTAAGATTTTAAAAAAATCAAAAACTAAAATCGATTTAAACAAAATAAAAAATATATATATAAAGGAAAGCAGGATTTTTTTTTGGTCATTTTTTGTCATGAGATATATGGTCCATGAGTTTACCTGTATTTTTTTAGAAATGAATTTATGTTTTTTTGCAGAACTATGAGGTGTTTCGAAAAAATGCAGATGCAAAATTAAAAATAATAAAAAAAAGGGGTTTGATTGATTGATTGATTGATTGATTGATTGATTGATTGATTGGTGGGGGGGGAGGAGTCGCCCCCCCCCCCCGCCCCCCACCACGTGCACACACACACACACACACACACACACACACACACACACACACACACAC